ATTTATTAACTAGGAAAGAGAGGGTGAAAATATGGTCCAGGGTCGAAGCTCCTGGGCGGAAGGCAATTTGTTCCCTAGTTGGGAGACCAATGTCTTCCGCCCAGGCAGTGAGTTTCTTGAGGAGAAATCTTGAGTAGAGTTTCCCAATAAAGGATAGAAGGCTTATTGGTCTATAGTTGCTGGGGAGAGAGGGGTCGCCTTTTTTATATATTGGGACAATGATTGAATTAAGCCAAGATTCGGGAATGATACCTGATTTATTGACGATGGTGAATAGGTTAGCAAGAGGGATGGACCACCATGTGTGGTTGTTGGTGAGGAACTCTGAGGGAATTCCATCTGGACCGGGGGATTTCCGGGGTTTGAGAGTGTGGATAAGCTCAATGATTTCATCGGGTGTAACGGGGGGCCAGTCTAGTAATTCAGGGGAAGGGTAAGGATATTTTATGGAAGGAGTCTGGGTAGAGAAGACGTGGGTGTAGTAAGTTGACCAAGAGGAGGAAGAGATCGGGGTGGGGAGAATTGGGTCTGAGTGGGATAATGATCTAGAAACAAGGGACCAAAAAAGGCTATGGTTGTTGGAGAGAATTGAATGGTGGAGAAGGCTCCAGTTTTGTTGGGCGTATAGATGTTTTTTTTGCTCAAACAAAGTACGGCAGAGTTTTTTAAGATAGGAGTAAGTTAGGACAAGGTCGGAAGAGGGGTCTGCAAGGGTTGCACGGAAAGTTTGCCTGGTCAGTTTCTTGGCTGTCAAACAGTCTGAGTCAAACCAGGATGGACAGTGGGGATGGGTAGAAGGGGGTCGGGGAGGGCTAAGGGATTGGGTGAGGGATTTAATTAGGGACTCATAAACGAGGACAGCCAGATGAGGAGAGTTGGTCTTGGATAGGGTCTGCTTGAGATCAATCACATCGTTTTTGCGAGTCCAGGCTCTGAAGGACTCTTCAGAGTTATGAGTCCATCTTAGTCTAGGAGGGGGTGGGAGGTAGGGGGTAGGGAGGGAGTTGTCTGACTCAGCAGGAAGGGTAAGGGATAAAGGGGTGATTGTAGGTAAATGGTCACTTTCTGTCCGTATATCGACATGGAAGTCGAGGATTTGGGGGAGGGCTTCAGGGGAAGATAAGGTGTAATCGAGTACACTGGCCCCTCTATGAGAATAGTGAGTGAATTTGCCGGGTGAGTCTTGGTCTAAAGAGCCGTTTAGAACTACTAGATTAAACTCTATGAGGAGATCTACCAGCTCGGAGGTATATGGGTTAAAAGAACTGTCTTGGGATTGTCTTGGTCTTTGTAATATAGGGGGAATTGAGTCTTCAGGATCCCAGTTCATGTATTGGGCTAGGGCAGAATATCCAGTTCATGTTGAGTAGTTTCCCAGGTATGGAGAGGTTGACCATTCTTGATACAAAATAGTCTGACATCTGATGAAGCTCTGGATTTATATTAGCCCATGGAAAGCTGTGATTGTGCTAAACAGTTCAATAGGGTGGTTTTACATAACTTTCATCAGCCATGAATATGAAATAATGAGGAAGTATAAATGTGTAAAAATAAAAAGAGGATATGGTTGCTTCAGGCTAAATGAAGTTGCAGAATTAAAAGGGAATTGGGAGTGTTGTATAGAACCAAAGTACCTGTTGTTCAACTGAGGGCGTGAATTAACTTGGGTGGAGGCATAAAATGGAATCTTTATAGCTGCCAAGTGTCTAAAGTCAGCAGTTCTTATCCTCATCCGATTTCAAAATAATTTCGGGCAGTTAGTCTTGCACAGCCTTAACCTGCCTATAGATCTAACAAGGATAGGACAATGTATTGCCCTCTAGCTACTGTTGGCACTGTGACTCCAATCAGTCCAATGTCAGTCACCATGAAGGATGCAGTATTGATAAGCTTCCTCTTTTCCTGCTGCCCTAGAGAGGAGGAGGCAAATGTAGGGAGCATTACATTTAAAAATGGGACTTCTCTTTCAGTCTCAAGATGTCCTGCAATCTAGTCCAAACATTCAGTTTTAATATTAATAAATATTAATATTAAAACTCAACAGTTTTAATATTAATAAAAATGAGAGTTAAAACTTATTTCACATTCTCCCAGAATGCTCCAGTAACTATGTCGTGGAATCCATTTTTTTAAAAAAGCCCCGCTCTTCTGATTCATAGCAGGTATGACACCACTGGTAATGGCACAGTGCCAGTAATTAGATTTTAGGTGTATTTTGGTGTGTGTGCAACTTGTAGCAATGAGACAGAGTCATGCACAGCCTGAAACAGAAAAAGGAACTCTTTAATTAGCAGCAGTCTGTTGTTGCCAGGGATGTTATTTCTGCTATGCAGGCAGAGGTATGCAAGAGGATACTAGCCAATTCCTCCATGCTTGGGCTTCACTAAGCAAAGCACTAAGGAGAGCTATAAATTAACTGCATTTGTGGGTTTTTTAAAAAAAGATTTGTATGTCTTTTGTGTAAACTCACATTGAGTATTTCATTGCATGCATCCATAAGCTTTCTCTCTGTTTCCATGTGATAATCTAACACTGTTTCTTTGCCCACTGACTGGGTTTTCCCATTTATGAATCAGACAGCTGATCTACAAGCGACAGTGTGTTTGCATGGGTACATTTGTCATGATGGCTCTAACTAAGGGTTTTTCTTCAAAACTGGCAGAAGAGAATGAAGAACGAACTATGATAGATCCCCATTCAAAGGAGGATGCCAAATTTAAAGAACTCATCAAGGTGAGGACTTTATTAATACATTGTTCTGGCTTCTTTTGATGCATAAATATATGTCTCTTACTAAATCATGCCTTATGCCTTGATCTGCACATTAATTAGAATAAGATAATAGAGTCCAGCAGTAGTATTATAACATCAAAGACTAAGGATCTAGCCTGGATTTCAACTTTGATGGACCTATTTTTTTCTAAATGTAGTACAGACTAAAGAGTGAGTGGAGTACCTATTTAGCATCCCTCTATGTTAAAAAAAGTTATAGGTAGAAAGACAGTGCATTCAGGAGAAGACCATGCTTAGTACCTTAATCCTGGCTATATTAAAGGGTTTGCTTTTAACTTGCATGAGGTGGTTTATGAGGGAAAGCATTTAAAGACCATTTGCCATTTCAGAATTTTACCATCCCATTCTTTGTGTGTTGTTCTGGCATTATACTTGTAGATGAAGAAAAGGAACATTGTTCTGTAAAAGTGTTGGAAGTGTCACAGCTTTTGGAAGAACCCCTCCAAAGAAGAGCTTTTCAAATTCTAGTGGTTTTCTGTGCCAGATACTTAGTCCATCTAGCCCAGTATTATCACCTTTGACTGATAGTGGCTTTTCAAGGTTTCAGACAGCATTCTTTCCTAGTCCTGCTTGGAGATCCTGGTCTTCCCCGGTATTGTGCCACTAGGGAATCCTAACCAGGCCAGCCTTGCTTGGCTTCCAAAATCAATTGAGATCAGTGTGTTTGGGATGTTGTGGCAATAATAAAAATGGTTGCTATTATTGTTAAGTAGTATAAACATTTCATAGCTGCATAGTGACTAGTGGCTGCGAGGATGAACTGCGGGCGATGAAGCGAGAGGGGAGACGGCTGGAGCGCAGGTGGAGTTAATCCCACTGGGAGTCTGATCGAACACGACTTAGAGCCCATTATTGGGCCTATTTCGTGGCAATACGGCTGGCGAAATGGCAGTATTTCTCCAGATGTATTGCTTCCTCAGAATGTCGTTGAGCAGAGCTGTTTCAGGTGGACCAAGATCTTCTTCAGCTAGGAAATCTGGTGGAGGTCCCGGACTGCTCATCAGTTTGCTGTGGTGAGTTTGCCATTCATTTTGAGGGAAAAATCACTCAGATTCACAGTGGGTTGGACTCCACCATTACTGCAAAATCAGAGGATGTGTCCACTGTGCTGTGCCTTGGTCAAATATTGATGGATGAGTTTCACTTGTTGAGACTTGAGGATGTGGACAGGGTGCTTGGATCTGTCCATTCTACCACCACTCTGCTCGACCCTTGCCCATCTTGGCTAATTGGAAGATCTGCCAGGGGGGTTCGCACCTGGGTCCAGGAGGCTGTGAATGCCTCTTTGAGAGAGGGAGTGGTCCCTACCACCTTGAAAGAGGTGGTAATTCAGCCACTCCTTGAAAAGCCTCACCTGGATCCAAGGCTGGTGGTTAACCAGTGGTGAACCTCCCTTATTTGGGCAAAAGTGTTGGAGCGGGTTGTGGCTGGGCAACTCCAGGTGCTGCTGGATGAAATGGGTTTTCTGGATCCATTTCAATTGGGTTTCAGGCTGGGTTTTGGTACAGACACTGCCTTGGTCGCCCTATATGTTGACCTTTGCCAGGAGAGAGACAGGGGGAGTGTGACCCTGTTTGATACTCCTGGACCTCTCAGCGGCTTTCGACACCATCAACCATGGTGTCCTTCTGGATAGGCTGGCTGGTTGGGAGTTGGGGGCACCGCTTTACGGTGGTTCTGCTCCTTCCTGGCTGACTGTGTCTAGAAGGTGATGCTGGGGGACAGTTGATCTGTCCCATGGCGTCTATGTCATGGGGTTCCTCAGGGCTCGATACTGTCCCCCATGCTGTTCAACATCTACATGAAACCTCTGGGAGAGGTCATCAGGAGGCTTCGGCTGAGGAGTCAGCAATATGCTGACAACACTCAGCTCTACCTCTTGTTTTCCACCAATCCAGGTGAGGCGGTTTCTGTGCTTGAACTCGTGTCTGGACCTTATAATGGACTGGATGGGGGTTAATAAATTGAAACTCAATCCAGACAAGACGGAAGTGCTATTAGTGGGTGCTTCACCAGACAGGCTGGAGGGCCATTTCCCTGCCCTGAATGGAGTTACACTCCCCCTAAGGGACAAGGTCCGCAGCCTGGGGGTGCTCCTGGACCGCAGTCTAACTGTAGAAGCCCGGGTGGACTCGGTGGCCGGGGGCGCCTTCCTTCAGCTTCAGAAATTGTACCAGCTACGGCCCTACCTGGATGAGGGGAGTCTCATGACAGTTACACATGCACTGGTAACATCTCATATAGATTATTGCAATGTGCTCTACACGGGGCTGCCTTTGAAGACGGTCTGGCGATTGCAACTGGTCCAGAATCAAGCTGTGCGGCTGGTGAGTGGTGGGGCCACTAGGGAACATATCCAGCCAATTCTGATTAAATTACTTTGGTTACCAGTTGCTGCCCGGGCCCAATTCAAAGTGCTTGTTTTGACATATAAAGTTCTAAATGGCTTGGGCCCTGGATACCTGAAGGACCGCCTCCTTCTATATGAACCTACCTGACAGTTAAGGTCTAGCCAGGGGGCCCTTTTGAAAGAGCTTTCCCTCAAGGAGGTAAGGGGGATGGCTTGTAGACAAAGCTGCCCCCAGACTATGGAATGCCCTCCTGACTGAGATTCGTCTGGCGCCAACACCGATGACATTTTGGCACCAGGTCAAAACCTTCCTGTTCCAGAAGGCTTTTAAGTGAAATAATATCAACTTTGGGTCCTGATGGCAATTGTTAGAGTATCTATTTTAATTGTATTTTAATTGTTTTATCTTTTTTATTGTATTTTTATTGTATTTTAATTGTTGTGAGCCACCCAGAGAACTTTGGGTAGAGTGGGTGGCATATAAGTTAAATAAAATAAATAAATAAATAAATAAATAAATAAATAAATAAATAAATAATATTCCATCACTTCTAGCTGGCAAGGTCCTGCTGGGATTCTCCAGCCTATGCCACACCAGTGGGCACAGAAACCTCTGAAAATCCCAGCAGGGACTTGCTAACTAAAAGAGACTGGATGGTACACCATTTGCCTTCTGCATGTATAATTAAGCAACAGCATTTCAGCCAATAATTAACTAGCCCAAAAGTGAGTTTGTAAAAAAGTTAAGGAGCAGCAAAAGTGCCATAATTATTCAAAGCAGTTTTTGGAGATACAGCTTTCTTAGTCTTTTGTTGCATAAAGAATCCTTTATTGCTTTGAAGACTAAACGATTTACTGTGACAAAATCTCCCATAGACTAGAATCAAATTTAGCAAGTGCCAAAAAACACTTTGATGTATTTACTCACAAAACACAGTTTTAAAAAATGTTTTTCTTTTAACCAGATATAATTCAATATCAGCAGTAACTATAACTGTATAATTTTTTTAAAAAATCTCTTTTATGCAGGTTTTGATTGACTGGATTAATGATGTGCTGGTTGAAGAAAGAATCATAGTCAAGCAGCTTGAAGAGGATGTCTATGATGGGCAGGTGCTACAGAAACTATTGGGTGTGTTGCTGCCATAGGTTGCAGGTGTATCTATACTGCACAGTTCTTGGCATTTGCTTAGTTTCCAGTATCCACATCCAGGTTTTCCATTTCCTATGGCAACATGACTGCTGTCTTGGATTCATGAAGGGGAACTAATTTTAAACCGAGATCCTATTGCAAATGTTAGTATTACTGTAACTGTCATGGCTTTATAGTATGGGAACCTAGGATTTGTAGTTTGGTTGGGTTCTCTGCTAGAGAGCTCCAGTCCAGGAGTGTTACAGATAGAGAGCTGCAGGACAGAATTCTAAATACCCTACCAAATTACATATCCCAGGTTCCTTTGGGACGGAGCCATGTACATTATCCAATGCTATGCTTGTGTAGAATAGATACAGTCTACATATGGGGGATAAAGCATTGAAGCTGGACTGAAGAGTGCCTGTAAATTCCTAGTCAGTCATGTTGTTCACCGAGTGGCCTTTGGTGAGGTAGGATTGTGCAGCCAAAACTAACACACAAGAATGTTGTCAGGATCAAATGAGATGGTCCTCTGCCTGAAAGTCCATGGAGGAGGGGCAGAATACAGATTCAGTAAACAAAAAGAGTAACCATTTGGGTCATTCAGTTGAATGAGGCTGCATCAGTAATCGTTCATAACGAACAAAGAGAGGGCTTTGGCACCAACCCCTTTTCTGCTTCCAATCTCCTTTGCCACGTCTGACAAATCTTGCTTCTGCCTTTCTGTTTTTCCAACCTAGAGAAGCTAGCTGGTCGCAAACTGAATGTGGCTGAAGTGACTCAGTCTGAAATTGGTCAGAAACAAAAGCTGCAGACAGTTCTGGAAGCTGTCCATGATCTACTGCGACCCCACGGCTGGACTATCAAGTGGAACATTGACTGTAAGAAGCTTTTCTGGAACAGGTTTGCTGTTGTGGAGATAGGACTACTGCTCAGTGGCACAGCACCTGCTTTCCATGCATGAAGTTGTAGGTTCAATCCCTACCCCTGCCACTTAAAATGATCACAAGTAGCAAGATAAGGGTGACATTTTGGGGAGCTAACTCCAAATTAGGTAGGAGCGGGTTGGCAGGATGAATCTTCTGAACATATATGGTGGTAGCTTTATGTGTTCCGTCTCCCACATTGTGCTTTTTGTTTCATTCAGTGTTATAAGGGTGAAAACAGTATTCTGCAACTAGTATGGATTGTGCAAATCTGTCTTACTTGCATATTTTAGTTCGAGTGCAGCTGTTTATAGCTTTTAAATGTAGTTGGACACACCCATTTTCCCTCAGAGGCAGAACATAGTTGTTCTTTGGCTTCTAAAAATCGCTGTTTACCTGCCTCTCAGGTAAGAATAGAGGCTGTGAGTGTTTGAGGATAAACTGAGACACACTGTATGTGTTTGTGTGCTTATGTAAAGCTGTCAAGGATATGATTGTATGCTTCCTGAAATGTGTGGCAATTGAGATGTATGGGAGATAGTGTTCTAAGTTTGTATTTGGGCATGCATGGACTTAAAAATGTTACTTTGGGCAGTCATTTGGGGAAAATGTTAGCTATTTTTTTTCTATTTCCATAAAGTTTTTAAAATTATTCATTTCTTTAAAATATTTTTACCCTGCCTTTCACTTTGAAAAGACCCAAGGCAGTCATTAAAAGACAATATACAAATTTTAAAATTGTAAGTGTACAGATATTTTAAAAAGAATTTTTAAAGTATCGTATTAAAAATGGTAACTAAAATCAATACAAAAAACACTTAAAAGCATCAGAGCACGACCTTCTCAGACTGCCAGTCACTGAGGAAAAGCCTGTCTGAAGAGAAAGGTCTTTGTCCACTTGCAGAAGGATAGCAAAGATGGATCCCGCCTCCTTCATGGGAGAGGGTTCCAGAGTCTGGGAGCAGCAACATAGAAGGCCCTTACCCCTGTCCCCAACAAACACACCTGAGAGGGTGGTGAGACCAAGAGAGAGGCCTCTCCTGATGATCTTAGAGCCCAGGCAGGCTCATAGAGGGAGATGAAGTCTTTTAGATAGCTTGGCCCCAAGTTGCTTATGGCTTTATAGGATAAAAACAGCACTTTGAATTGTGTCCAGAAACAGATTGGCAGCCAGTGGAACTGTTGTAACAGGTGTTACATGTTCCCAGAACCAGCCCCAGTTAACTACCTGGTGGAGGCATTTTGGACTCTCCGAAGTTTCCGAACACTTTCCAGAGGAAGACCTACATAGAGTATGTTACAGTAATCCAAACAAAAGATGCTACTAGGACATGCGTCACCATGGCTAAATTGGAGCTCTCAAGAGATGAGCACAGGTGGCACACCAGTTTTAACTGTGAAAAGGCATTCTTGGCCACTGCCGAAACCTGGGCATCCAGGTTTAGAGATGAATCCAAGAGCACCCTCAAGCTGCACACCTGTGTTTTCAGAGGGAGTGTAACTCCATCCAGCACAGGCTGAACCTCTATTTCCTTGATCTGCCTTTCAGTTGACCAGGAGCACTTCTGTCTTGACTGAATTAAGTTTTAGTTTATTTGCCCTCATCCAATCCATAACTGACACCAGGCACCGATCTACAGCCGGAATAGCTTCCTCAGATTTAGATGGAAAAGTGAGATAGAGTTGGGTGTCATCCACATATTGGTGACATATTTTAAAGATTACTTTAAAAGCATGTATGATTGCATAGTACTACAAGTGACTTTTATGTAGTGAGGAACAACCAGCAAACATCCTTTTCAAAAATTAACACGAATGTGTTAAGTTTTTGTAGAAATGTTTCCAAGCTCTGGTTGTTCCCCACATTGGCTTGTGAAATCTCTGTCTCCAAGGGAGTCTGCTTCAGAATAAGACATGTTAAAGCAAAACAGTGGGCATGGGAAAGGCAGGTGCTGAACAGTCTTGCTTGCAAGTACAGTGATGCCTCAACTTACGACTGTCCCGACATACGACCATTTTGAGTTGTGACCAGCTCCGGCTGCAAAATTTTGCTTCTACTTGCAATGGGAGCCTCGAGTTACAACCAGAAAAAAGCAGGGAAAAAAGGCGGGGAATTCAAATGTAGGTACTAACCGTTGGTCGGTGAGAGCTTCTTTGTAGCTCTTTTGCCCCCAATGGTTAGGAGGCTTCGAACTGCCTGGTGCTGGTTTCTGCTCCTGAGTAAATACGTTTACTTTGTTTTGCAGGGTGGGTTTGAGTTTGTGGAGGGGGGTTATGTTTCTGTGCTGTGATATTTTTTGGTTTTTTTCCCCAGCCCCATCGCATTCCAATGGAGTTTGGTGTGTGTAGGGGGGTATTTTTTTTTTCAGCCCCATCGTGTTCTGATGGGTCTGGCTCTGTGTGTGTGGTGTTTTTTTGTTATTCTTTTTTAGCCCCATCACGTTCCAGTGGGGCTGGCTGTGTGTGTGTGGGTGCTTTTATTCATCCAACTAGCTCAATGGCATCAGCTCTCACTGGCAGCATCTTTCTAGGGTTTAGGCAAGATGAAACCCTAAAGTCCTCCATGAAGTTCCCTGGTGTTCCCTGGTAGTCTTCTGCCAACATACTAATCAGGTTTGATACTGCTCAGTATCTACAATCAGACAAGATCAAATTTGTACAAAAATCTTGCTTATATTGTCTGGGAAGTGTTTGTCTTGCATTTTGCCCTCCAGCCTCGTTTGGTGTGGTATTGAGCAGCTAACAAAATTGGAGGGCTTATCAGGCTGTTATCTGACTGCCCTATGGAGCTGGTGGGTAGGGATTGACCTAGTATGTGCTTCATCCCATGAGTTATATAGATCTAACATGTACATTTACTCAGAAGAAAATCCCATTGATTTTTGTGCTGCTTCAAGATAAAGTGCTCAGGGTTGTTTATTTTTTTATGCACTAATTTTTAATCTTGTGGTCATGTAAACATCATGTAGAGATGCACCATCCTTTGCTCTGGCTTCTCTGTTAGGTAGGGTCCTTGACACAGCCGCAGTTGTCAGTAGATTGGAGTGGAAGGTGGCTGGTGGGTGTTTGTCTGAGAGGCAGCAGGCCAGAGGAGGAAAAGGGAGGAGAACTGCAGAAGCAGACCTGGCCAAGGTTTTGCCTGCAATGGTAATCTTTCCCTGTTCTTCGTATTCTACAAGCTAAGGTGGTTACCCAGGGATAGGCTTGATGCTGATACATCCATATTGCCCTCCCCTCTGCCAAGGCAGAGAGCCAAGCCCATATGACAGATCTAAGACTTCCTAAGCATTCATTCCTGATTACCTTTAAAAGTATATGCCTTTTTTTTCCTTTTAAGCAATCCATGGCAAGAACCTAGTGTCCATCCTCCACCTGCTCGTAGCATTGGCCATGCATTTCCGGGCCCCCATCAGACTTCCTGAACATGTTTCTGTGCAAGTAGTGGTTGTAAGGGTAAGAAGTTCTTGATTGTTTGTCTCTTTGAAATAATATCCTATCATATTCTGCACAGCGAAAGTGGTTAGACAATTAAGCTAGTGCCACACACAACCAACAAACATCTGAAACCCAAACCTGAAAAGGATTCACTTTAAAAATCCAAGGGGTTGTAGACTATAAAACTGAATCAAGCTGTTTGCTACCACTGTCTGTCCTGTGTCTCTGGAGAGTGCAGATACATCCCCAGGGATGTGGAAAGGTGGGGTCTAAGTGAGAGCTTGGACTATAAAGCTAGAATCACTAGCCTGTGCTGGGAAATATCATCCAAAACAGTAACTGCTCCAAGTTCTCGATGCTGCTGTATGGCCCACTGGGTGTAAGTCAAAATAATTGTTTCATGGATTGCTGCCTTGTTGTGGCGAAGGGTCTTGAGTAACTCAGAGAAGCTATGGGCTATGCCGTGCAGGGACACCCAAGATGGACAGGTCATAGTGGAGAGTTCTGACTAAATGCAATCCACCTGGAGTAGGAATTGGCAAGCCACTCCAGTATCTTTACCAAGAATACCCCATTAACAGAAACAAAAGGCTTAAAGATATGGCGCTGGAAGATGGGCCCCTCAGGTCGGAAGGCGTCCAACATGCTACTGAGGAAGAGCAGAGGACAAGTAGCTCCAGAGTTAATGAAATGGTTAGGCCAATGTCAAAAGGACGCTCAGCTGTGGACATGCCTGGAGGTGAAAGGAAAGTCCAATGCTGCAAAGAAAAATCCTGCATAGGACCTGGAATGTAAGATCAATGAGCCCTGGGAAGCTGGATGTGGTCAAACAGAAGATGACAAGAATAAACATTGACATCCTGGGCGTCAGTGAACTAAAATGGACAGGAATAGGCGAATTCAATTCAGATTATCATCATATCTACTATTGTGGGCAAGGGTCCCATAGAAGGAGTGGAGTAGCCCTCATAGTCAACAAAAGAGTGGGAAAAGCTTTACTGGGATACAATCTCAAAAATGATAGAATGATTTCAATACAAATCCAAGGCAGGAGAGTGCAAAAAATGGTCTGAAGCTCAACATTAAAAAAACAAACCCTAAGCTCATGGCCACTGGTCCCATCACCTCCTTGCAAATAGAAGGGGAAGATATGGAGGTAGTGACAGATTTTACTTTCTTGGGCTCCATGATCACTGCAGATGCCTGCTTCTTGGGAGGAAAGCAATGACAAACCTAGACAGCATCTTAAAAAGCAGAGACCTCACCTTGCCAACAAATGTCCGCATAGTCAAAGCTATGGTTTTTCCAGTAGCGATGTATGGAAGTGAGAGCTGGACAATAAAGAATGCTGACCGTGGAAGAATTGATGCTTTCGAATTGTGGTCCTGGAGGAGACTCTTGAGAGTCTCCTGGACTGCAAAGAGAACCTATCCATTTTGAAGGAAATCAAACCTGAGTGCTGAGGCTCCAATACTTTGGCCATCTGATGAGAAGAAAAGACTCCCTGGAAAAGACCCTGATGTTGTGAAAGTGTGAAGGCAAGAGGAGAAGGGGACGACAGAGGACAAGATGGTCGGACAGTGTCATCGAAGCGACCAACATGAATTTGACTAAACTCTGGGAGGCAGTGGAAAACAGGACGGCCTGACGTACTCTGGTCCATGGGGTCACGAAGAGTTGGACACAGCTAAACAAGAAAGTACTATTATAACATCTCTTTTTATTTGATTTCTGTTTTCCTTGTCCCTGGCTGTTGAAACCTGTATACATCTCATGACTGATGAAGCTCTGAACAGTCTATGGGTTTGAAAAACAAAACAAAAACATTTTGCTATACTGGTCACAGTGGTGGCTGCCATGTCCTACGTGAGCCTTTTGTTGATGTTGGTTGTTTTCTGTGCTTGATGATACTTCCCAGGGGGAGGAAAACAAGACCATTACATGAACAGCACTGCTGAATAGATTGATGGCATAAACTTGCAAAGGCCCCCAAAAGGTTCAGTACAATTTCTAGCCTACACAGAATGTGAAAGATTAATGCCTCCCTTTGGAGGTTTGTTTTTCATTTAAAGCGGTGGTCACTTAGTGCTGGAATTGCTTTGCTGCAGGCAGAAGAGTGCATCTGGATGTTGTGCACAGCCTTATGCCTTCAGAGGAGTGTGTTCTTCCTTTATTATCTTCATCTGTTGGAGGAGAAAATGAATCTTAGCAGAAAATACAATTAACATAACGACAACATGCACGACAGTGCATTTGTCAGTCTCTTTGGCACTTTCAAAAATATTTCATAAAAGTACCACTAGGTGGTACCTTTGAAGGGAAGGATTTTTCCACTTCACAGCCTGCATTCATTGTTTGCACATTCCTGTGGGGAAAAAAAGCCAGTCAAGGACTGGTTTAGGTTGGAGTGTGGGTTGTTTGAGCTCTCTCTCTCTGTTTTGAGATAGTCAACTAATAATTAAGGTTGTCATTTAGTTAAGGAAGACACTGTTGATTTTAATCACACTCATTGAATGAATTCGTTCTTATGTTCAAATACAGATTGAACAAATTACTCTGAAGAAAAAAGTGTGGTTTCTTTGTTTTTAAGCAATGTGTATGTCTACTATACTAGATGCCATCTTAGAAGATGTGTTCAGTTCTTCAAAAAACCTCCAGTTTATGAATATGGGATACTGTGCTTCTGTACCCACAATCCAAAAAGCCAGGAAATGCCCCAATATTGCTAAACAATTTTGAACCCATATTGCCAGCTGGAAAAAGGATGCCATATATAGCAAAGGGCTGCCTGAATGTTGACACCAGTGACAGCAGTCAAGATGTCTACAGGATACCCTCTTCTGCTCGCTAGCATTCACAAAGTGACACCATGCAGCAGAACATCCCAGAAGCTGACTCCTTTTTTTCAATCAGTTAACCAGTTAGCCACTTCTCAGCCAAACATAAAGCAATTGTCGGGACTGTTTTCCTCCTGTTTGTGAAAAATTAGGGATTCTTCTAAGAAAATGGTGGTGTTGTTTCCAGTAGCTTTTAATCAGTGGATCATCAGCATTGTTTAAGCCCATCATGTGGTTTTAAACCAAAAAGTAGCCAGCTAAACCCTTCAGTCCTGTTACTGCTCACAATCTGTTCTGTGCTGTTCAAGTGATGTTGACATATATTGCTCAGAGCAAACTCACAGGACTAGTCTCTTCATAGTTGGTGGGACTCTGCTTCCTTCTGTTCTTATATCTTCTGATATTTACTAGAGGGATAATTTGGAGGTTTTCTCTGGCTAGAAAAAACAAGAAACAGTAAAGAAATATTGTATATGAGCCCCTAAAAGGTGATTGATATCTAAGCTAGGCCAGGTGGGGGCCGCAAAATGGGTATGCTATGTATTTCTCTTTTGAAATCCCTGTAACCTTGTTTTCCATTCTCCTTCCTTCCAGAAACGGGAAGGGCTACTTCATACAGCCCATGTTACAGAGGAGCTCACCACCACCACAGAGTAAGCACAACTCACCTTATCCTTCTGCCAGCATTTGTGCAAAGTTAGATGCCCAGCATTATTCATTTCTGTATACTGTATATCTTGTTCTTATGTGGAATCTCGTTGCAATAGCCCCATTGAGTTTTATCTCCTAAAGAGAATCTTTTCAGTTAATACTTTTGTGTGCCTGCCAAGAAAATTCCTTACACAGCACATGATTGTGGGGTACAGTCTAGAGTTTAAGCTTGGTTAGGTGTGTGATGAGCCAAGCTGCTGCAGCCTCACTTTTGCTCTGTATGGTCTGGGAACCAAAGCAGGATGCAACCACTGCTTCCCTGTGATTTTGCATTTCACAGTGGGGTTCTGAGGGAAAATATGTATCCAAGCATAATTGAATTGCCCCTTGAAGAACTCCATTCTGCTGTTACCTTCTAGCAGAATGGCGTAAGTGGCTCCAGCAGTCAGAATTTAGGGAGACAGATGAAAGTAGGAGCTGATTCCAAAATGGCACAAAGGAATGTTTAAAAGTGTGAGTCCTAGTCTGAGAGGAATTCCATTTTTTTAGTCTGATCTAGGCCCAATTTCTTTGGCCAACACTGACCCCAAAGGTGCCCGAATTTGGGTTAAGAATTACTTATAAGCACACAAAAGCCTGGCCCTGAACAAAATTGTGTATAAGCAGCATGACCAAAAGGATCGGAGCTTTGAAATGCTTGTTATCATTAACAAGCTTTGAGACTACTTGTCTTGAATATTAGCCCAATCTTTATGCTTCCCAACATGGCATGCTACTTTTGAAAATGATAGAGATTTTTAGAGTGGTTTTTGACAGGGATTGGAGAAACAACTGTTTGAAGAAACAGCCCCTTTGATTTCAGGATTTTATGTAATGGTATGTAATAAAGGAGAGAAAATAGCTTTTTAGAATTTGAAAGCAGTTCTCTTTCTTGAAAGATTTTCTTGCAACATTGACTTCAGATGGGGGAGAAATGAACTCTCACATTTGAAATATCCTTATTTAAATGTGGGCTATTCCAAAATCATTAATGATCTAAGCATATTCTATAAACTCTGATTTTCAGGATGATGATGGGGAGATTTGGTAAGTTAAATATTTTAATTTGGGGAATAAATCCATGATTATGTTCTGAGGCTGAAACAATATTAATTTGAATAAAGTAGCTGAAATTAATAATACTAAAGTATTTTTGTGTGTGTTACATTTCATTAATGCTTCCCTTGTTCACACTGATGCATTTTTGGTCAGATGGGTTATTGCTGTCTCATTTCTGCTTTGTACCTAAGCTTGGGACCACTGTATAACTGTTGCAGGTGCTTCTGGTTCCTTCTTTTCTGTTGCATCAGGTTTCTTCCTGTCTTTGGTTCAAATTCAAACTTAGTTTAACTAGCACTTCCTGTTGAATGTTGTCATTGGTCTGGTGAACATTTGCTGTTTCTAAGTAGCAAAGGCATGTGATGGAATGTAACATTGCCTTTGTTTCCCCTCCAGTCTTTGTCATTGCATGAGATGAGCACCTACTTTTCACATGGATTCCATAAGAATAATGTGTGTGCATAAATTGCTTCCATGAACTGTTTTCCTTTCATTCTGAAAAAATAAAATCTTTTCCTTCTTAAACTTAGAACGGGATGCTTTTGATACACTTTTTGATCATGCTCCAGACAAACTAAGTGTAGTGAAAAAGGTAAGATTTTAATTTTTTTTATTGCATGGGATGGTGATCTGCAGACACAGGGTACAACAGCATCAGCTTGCACTATCTGTCACCATCTGAATTAAAAGGGACGCTGTGGTAGGAGACCCAGGAGGACACCACTGCTGACACAAAGGCATAAAAGAGCAAGACTGGAATATGCCAAAACCTATGTGACAAAACCACAATCCTTCTGGGAGAACATACTGTGGACAGATGAGACAAAAGTAGAGCTTTTAATCAAGGCCATCATGGCACTGTTTACAGAAAAAGAAATGAAGCATTCAAAGAAAAGAACACAGTCCCTACAGTCAAACATGTGGAGATTCAAATATGTTTTGGGGTTGCTTTGCTGCTTCTGGTACCGGATGCCTTGACTGTGTGAATGGTATCATGAAATCTGATGATTACCAAATAATTTTGGGGTGCAACGTAGTGGCCAGTGTCAGAAAGGTGCATCTCCACCAGAGGTCATGGGTCTTCCAGCAGGACAATGACCCAAAATGCACTTCAAAAAGCACTCAGATATGGTTACAAAGTGCTAGAGAGTTCTGAAATGGCCAGCAATGAGTTCAGATCTGAATCCCATAGAACGCCTGTGGGGAGATCTCAAAACAGCATTTGGGAGAAGGCATCCTTCAAATCTGAAGGCCCTGGAGCAGTTTGCAAAAGAAGAGTGGTCCAAAATTCCAATGTAGAAGTGTAAGAAACTCATTCATGGTTACAGGAAGTGATTGATTTCAGTTATTTTTTCCAAAGGGGATGCTACCAAATATTGTTAAGGGTGCTAATAATTTTAGACAGTGCGTTTTTGGGATTGTATAAGATTTGACCTTTCTTCTCTGTGTTTATGTGTTGTTCCAATGCAAATCAAAGAAATGAACATGTGAGTACCAAAACATTTGCAAGTGCAACAATTTTCTGAGGGAAGGGTTGCATTTTCTGATAGAACTTCAAGGGTGCCAATATATTTGGCCATGACTATATATAATGAAAATATACACACAAAAGAAATCTTTTGGGATTTGTATGTCTAGCAGGTTTATTTTTTTTATTTTATTCTGAGATGAGTTGTTGTGATCTACAATCTACTGCAGGCATGCTGAATTCCTCCTGTGATTGCTTTTAATTAACACTGTCATTTCCCTCCTCCACCCTTATTTTATGTCCACTCCTAGCAAATGTGGGTGGATTATTATCTCAAACATTGACTCAACAGTGATAAAAAATATTTATAGTGGTGCCTCGCTTAACGAGCGCACCACATAACGATGAAATCGCATAGCGATCCGTTTTTTCGGATCGCTAATGCGATCGCTTAACGTTTTTCCTATAGGGCACAATTCGCTTTGCGAAGACCGGTAAGCGTTTCGCTTACCGATCTTCGCAAAACAAAGCCCGACGATCAGCTGTTCGGCAGCCAAAATGGCCGCCGGAAGCCCGGAAATGGCCCAAAATGGCCGCGCGCAGCGTTTTCGCGCCCTCGTTAAGCGAGGCGAGGGCGCGAAAATGGCTGCCGGCCATTACGAAGCTTCGTTGAACGGTGAGTATTTGGCCCATTTGGAACGCATTAAACCATGTTTAATGCGTTCCAATGGAAATCCCTGCCCCGTTCAACGATGCTTCAGCATAGCGAAGGTTAATCCAGAACGGATTAACCTCGCTATGCGAGGCACCACTGTACAATCTATGTATTAGTCTAAAAATATTTTTAAACCCCCCTTCCTGCCAACACAAAGACAGATTGAGGGATGAAATGTACTGTATGTGCATTTTAATTGAGTTCTGGGACTCCACTCATTTGATGGCTGATACGGAAGGATCTGTGGTTATTCAGTGGCCATTATATAGAGCTTTCTGCTCTGTGTGCAACATAGAGGAAAATGACTAGTTTAATAGATTAAAGGCTACATCCAGTGTTAAGCCCAAATAGAGTGGACTTATTAAAATCAAGAAAACCTATCTCCTATTCCTTTCATTGGGTCTACTTTAGCTGGAGCTGAAACCGGATTTAGCCTCAAGAGTGTAAAGGCCCATCTAACCCCGAACTTCCTACTCCAGTTGGTAGCATTTTTCAGGTAGAGGCCTTTCCCAGTCATGCCGCTTGATTTCCATTTTTAACTGGAGATGGTAGGGATGTTGTGGTAAAAAGGTCTTACACAATTTGTGTAAAAATACTTTGTGCTTTCATAGTACAGTATGTTTTGCTGATTTTTGAAGTACCATAAATTTGGACAGAAGGTTGAATGAATATGTGTAACACGTGTGTTGAGGCGGATCCTTGATTCACTGTGGAAGCAGATCTTTGCATGCATACAGTTGTAGGCTCAGTCCCTGGAAACTCTACCTAGAAGTTCTTTGCCTGAGTTTTTGTAGAACCATTGTTAGAGTAGAGTGTCCTTGGTTAGATGGGCTAATAGTTCTACAGCATAACATAGTGCTTTGTTGGAATCAGAACTTGGAAAAGACACTTTTTTGGACTACCCTGGCCATACTGATTTGGAGAATTCTTGGAGCTGTAGTCAAAAGGAGTAACATTTTTCAAGCTCTGATCAGGACAGAGACGGTGCCACTTTCTCGCTATTTTACCATTAAGTTTTCTCTTGGAGTTTGCATGATTCTTATCTCACTTCCTTTCCCCCAACCTGATCAGCTTCCCTTATTTTCTTTTTTAAATGAAAGCAACTCTCTTGAAAGGTCCTGGTAGATTTTAATTCAGATATTTTCAGAAACCTCAAAAGCATTACATTTGCAATGTGTGTGCTGAGTTCTTAGAGTATTTCCATGGCCAAGACCCATGGTTTATAAAATAGATCCCAGATCACTGAGTTCCAAATGTAATAAAAGTGATAAAATATCATCTTGAATCAGTGTAAGGTTAGAATAGTCTTGGTTTTATATTGTGGATGTTTTGTCTTTATTCTTAGAATTTTTAAGAAAATCTAAGTATTGGTTATTTATTTATTCTTTTGATGTGATAATTTTTTTCCTTTCCAGTCCCTGATCACTTTTGTAAACAAACATCTCAATAAACTTAACTTGGAAGTGACAGAATTAGAAACTCAGGTAAGAGGTGTTTATTACTAGTGACAAAGACGAAACCATGTGTTCAGCATTCATAAGAACTTTCCATTTTTATTTAAATTAGCTGCAGAAGAATGAAAATTTGACTAAAGTAATGTAGCTACGGACAAAGAAGCTTAATTATTTACTCACCAGCTTACCAAAATTTCAGCTGAAAACCAGCTTTGGTGTGCTTTCCCATGAAAATTATCTGAAGCTAAGAAGAGGGCTCGTTGTCAAGGGAAGATGCTATCAGACTACAGCACTCATCATCCTTAGTCATCATAGTTAAGGATGAAAGCTAAAGGGATTTTTGCCCCACTGTACAATATTTGGAGGGGTACATATTCCCCATCTGTTCCCTAGGTGAGAAGTGTAGGCATCCCCAAACCCTTTTCTCTTCCCTCAATAGTTTATCCTGGTTCTGTTTCCATGTTTCAGAGGCTAAACGGGGCAAAAGGAAAATGATGAGAGGGGAATTCATCCCAATCGTAGGTTCACTGGGCTACAAAATAAGAGGGGAATTAAGGGTTTTCTGCTTCTTTCATGGTTCCATAGAAATGAATGGAAATCAGTCCATTTAGTTGTAACTGGACAAAGGGGAGATGTGTCACAAAAATATCTCTAGGTCTTGTTTTATGGGGAATTCCCTCTTGGATATTCCTTTTTCTCTATGTTTTCTATTCCACAGAGTGGCCTTACGTTTATCTGAATTAAAACAATTTACACTAACCAGGGAGATGCTCACTGTGATGTAGTGGATAGAGTGAGAAACTAGGACACAGGAGGCCTGGGTGCAAATTCCCACTCAGTCATGGAACCTCACTGGGGGTGTGGAACTCCTTAAATAGTTCATCTATCTTGAAAGCCCTATTAGGCTCATTATAGGTCCATTCCAACTTGACGGCACACAACAACAGCCACACTAACCAGTACAAACATCTTCTTAACAGCATTCTTTACCTCTTGCTATAATATAAGAATTTAAATGTAGTTATCTTGGAATGGACTACAAGTGAAGAAGAAACAAACATTTAACTGACTGGGCACCCCTAGCAGTAATTCATTCCTGTTTCATTAGGATTCATTCTCTGTTTTCCTTTGTGTTCACCCTAAATGGGATAATATTAAACAATTAAGTTCCTGCAAACATCTCATGACTGTGACCAGAGGTAAGGTGTCCTGTAGGCTATTTGTTCTTTGCCAGCGAGTCATTTATAAGTACCACATGCATCTTTTTGTAGTCTCCCTGGGAGAGTCACTGGTGTAAACAGCCCCGTATCTCCAAAGAGTGTCTCCCTGGGAGAGTCACTGGAATTTCTCTTCAGTTTGCAGATGGTGTGTACTTAGTCTTACTGATGGGCCTCCTCGAAGACTATTTTGTTCCTCTCCACAATTTCTATTTGACGCCTGAGAGTTTTGATCAGAAGGTAGGTAGAAACTCCAGCCAGGCCACTTCTCTCTCTTACATTGTATGAACTGCTCTTTTCATTCTTTTTCTATTTTAGCTTTGCTGCTGAAGCTAGAATTAAGCCAACGAGCTCTCTTTAACAATTGCCAGTTAGCCACACGGTTAACATTTTATAGTCATGTGAAAATGTACAGTGACACTTAGCTATTAATCTTAATGGTAAAATTAATTTGTCCAGCAGCTATTAAATTCCAACTGTTCATGCTTTACTATAATATTGGCTATAGAATGTGCGTAGGGAGGAAAGGTGGAGAATAATATGTCCTGCACATGTGAAATAAAGAAAAACTGCAGCTCATGGTCCCCGCGCACTCTGATCCAACTGAAGACATGTGAAAAAGCTGGATTTACTTGCAGAATAGAGGCATTTTTAAAAGCCAAGGTCTGTGTTGGTCTATTCGGCAAGGAAATGGGAAGATTTGCAAAGGTTGGATCCAGCTGTCTTGCAGTGTCTCACAAATGGCATCAGCTGGATTTAGCCCTTTTGAAAAGGCTACATATGATCACTGTCAGCATGTGTAGCCTTGTTTTCTTTATCTGGCTAGGAATATTCTGTATCAGAAAGTGCTTCCGTAATGTTCTAGCCCCAACTGAAAGAGGGCAAGGTCTGTGGGTTGCTCTCCCTTTTACACATGATGTCATGTTAATTCTGACTTCTGATGACCCCTTCCCTATTTTTTCCAGATGAAGAGTACTTTTTCCAGATGGAGAGTACTTTTTTCTGGGTGGTTTACCATTCCTTTATTTCAACTGTACAGCTGTCCCAAGGCTACATTGGCCAGCTGTTCTCCTAGAAGGCACAGTGGGGAATCAAACCCCTTACAGATTCCCAACTCACTGAGCAGAGCCCTAAGATAAAGAAAAAGAGCTCCATTGCTGTGGAGGTGGTTTCATATGGAGAGAGAGAGAGAGACACACACAGAGAGTGTGTGTGTGTGTAAAGGAAGTATGCACAGCCTCACCCAATGCAGAATAGGTTAGTTAAAATTCATCACAGTATTCCATATTTGAGGTAGTTCTTGAAAAGAGAAAAAGTACAACTGTAAAATTTGTAACACTCAAAATTCTTTATAGGGCTTTGCTTTTAACTAAAATGATAAGGGTTAAGCAAGAACTAAAAGGGGCAATAAACATTTTTTGAACAATTAACTCCAAGGGAGGGGAAGATTTTGCCTGTTTTGCTGCTCAAGTCACTGAGCTGTGAGAAATTTTAATTAAATTCTGCCCTCCTGTGCCACTGTAGTATTGCAAGAATGGGACATGAAGTCAAGGAGAATACAAAACAGTTTTAATCAAACTGGGGGGCGGGGAGATTCCTTCCCCTTTATGAATGTTGTTAGTGAGTGTGAACATTTGATTATGTTTTCTACAATACAGTTCTTAATCAAAATAGGATAGTTCATGGTCTATATTCTGCCAATTGTACTATCCTTGAAGTATCCATGAATAGGTCCTGCACCTTTGCTGCTGTTTTGTTTACTGACAAATACAGATTGGTTTGTATGCAGATCACTAGTAGATTGGGAGTATCAGCTGCTGCAGCTTTTGAAGCCTTGAAGTGAACTGGATGTCTGGATATGTTGTGTTCCTTTCCCTGAATTGTACCACTTCAGCTGTAGCAGGAAGGGATGTTGTGTGTTTAATTGTCCTGTCCTACACTAGTGACGCAAGTGAAACAGCTGGCTAAAAAAGTCCTAGACCAAAGAAAACCCGAAGCAGGAGAAGCAGGATCTGTAAAGCCAACTATAATACAGTTGTGTTCAAAATTATTCAGCCCCCAATGCTGTAAAGGGGTTTAGGGACTATAGTGTACATTTGGAATTGTATTCAGAATGAAATCCTACAAGGACGTTTTAAAGAACCAAATAGTCCTAGAACCAGTCCAAATGGTCAAACACGGTCCATCCAGAGCAAAGAATTCAGGCACATAGGAATGAGGTAGAGGCTGTGAGATGAGTTGCTTCCAGCAGCTTGCAGAACCCACTGAAAGCTGGTTTCTAGCCATGGTGTTGCCTGCCCACCTCCCACAGCTGAGGTCATGAAATTAATGCTCCTCCCCACATATAAAAGACCTCATCTCATTAGAAAACTAGTATGAGGCTAGAAGACAGGTTCCGGCCTAGCCACCTCAGTGACCCACTATTTTTCTCCGTGCAGTGTTTTTTTAAGTTTGTGTTTTCTTTACATGTTGCTGCCACCTCCACCTATAGGAGTACAATTCAACAGAGATTGCAACCACCAGAAATATTTGAACATGTAGTACAGCTCAGAGACTAACAATTTCTTTATAGGTCCCCAGGTTTCTGTGGCTTCCATTAGGCACCCTACATCAACCAGGCAAACTGAAATTTCTCATATGTAATAATAGAGGCCAGTGGTAACGTGAACACTTTCAAAGGTTTTAAGCTATGTTCTTGAAACCTTGGAATGTAGACTGGTTAAGGACTACTGTGGAAAATACATCCAGATAAATGTAAGCTATAGGGTGGGGGAATGACTGCATGAATCTTTTTAATTATGTTACAAAAATCGGTTTTGAAACGTTTTTTTCATGTCTGTCTGTGATGCAGGTTCACAATGTTTCCTTTGCTTTTGAACTGATGCAGGATGGAGGTCTGAAGAAACCAAAGGCTCGACCAGAAGGTAGTATACACAAGGATAACTTGGGATGAAACAAAGACATGTTCAACAGACTCATTCCCACATGAGCTTTCAAGATGAAACAAATACATGTTCTGCCATGGAGGTGGCAGGGAGTGTTATACAGTCATAGCGAAATATATTGGCACCCTTGAAATTCTGTCAGAAAATGCAACCATTCTCTCAGAAAATTGTTGCAGTTGCAAATGTTTTGGT